TGTTGTTGTTGTTGTTTTTCTTTCCAATTAATAGTTATGGTTTAGCTAGTTCTGAATTTGTAATTTGATTTCGATATTAACAATATAAGGTGAATTGTAATGGTGGTACTCTTTATTCCTCCTGCCTCCTGAGTTTCTAAAATCCAATGTGGTTTAAAACCAATAAGTTCGTAATATCAAAGAGTAAAGTGAACTCTATGACAGTTTTCAAGTTTTCTAATAATATTATCTTATTTGTATTTTCATAACATCAGAAGTGTACTTACGCTATACGTTTGAAAAATCGTATGTCAGAAAAGATGAGATGATAAAATCAGGGTGTGAGTAGAAAGATGCAAACTAGAGATTCGGTACTTATAATGGATCTGAGCATTATAAATGGCTGCGTAATCAGCCTATGTATTATGTTTTACATAGACCTTGGCAGGTAACTTTCTATTTTAATACAATTCACACTTGACTGGCTAGCATGCTTAGGTATGATTTATAGTTAGTAGGTAGTAAGTTGCTGGTTATTTCATTGTAACTGCTGCGATTGTTTGATTGATTAGCAGAACTAAAAGGAGAGTTTCTTTTCGTTAGGATAGAAAAGTTGATTTAAAGCTTTCGATTAGATAATGACTTTCGGTAAATACTACAGATGTACCATGTAAGGCACTGATTAGTAAGTAGGTACCTACATAATTAGGAATTTAAAGCGATAATATATATGTTTTCAACTGCCAAAACATACTGATTCAGATCCAAAAACGCCACACAAAAAAGTTTTACAGTCTTAGCGATTGCTGCCATTTGCACCATACCAATTAAGCACCTGTCCTTACAACCACAACAAAGACTGAGTCAGCCATTTTAAAAATTAATTATTTGATGAGTATGTATAGGAAGTATTAAGTTTCTATAGACAACGATACGAAACATAACACTGCATTTTGTGTTGATAGAATTTACACTATTTCCGTACAAGAAACAATAGACAAGCTGCAAGAGTCTACTCTGCTGCTCATTAAACTATACAAAACCAGTATAAACTGGCCGTTGCACGTGTGGAAAAAGTATACGAAAAGAGACCATAATACACTGGTTAGTGTAACATGATCTGGAACCATGTGTACTATGATGCGCTGTCAGTGAAACATGATGAAAGTAATAGTAAGAGTCGTACATCTAATATGTAATGACGAGCCGGAAGACATAAAAAAGTGAACGCGAAAATTTGTGAAGAAATTAATGGCGGAAAACGATGTGTTTCCTATTTATCTGTTAAATAACTTCCCATGTGGCGATAGATCTATGAAAATTTATGAGTGTCGTAAAGTATTGCAATAAAGTACCGACACTATAGACTGTAGTGGTTGTAATAGTCGTCGTACCTTTGAAAACTTAAGCGATTGACGAATCGAAGAAAATTTATCATAAACAACATTTAATGTGCCTGTACAATGTAACACCCACTTTTTATTTACCTACATATTTTTGTTATGAGTCCCATGTAATAGGGGGAGGGGAGCCTATTGCCAAATACGGGGCACAATTGCAGACTACGTGCTACTACTGAGATTTTTTTTTAAAACCGTGATACTTTGCCCGACCCATGAATCCGCTGGCTAGTTTGGTATTGAAGAAATTGAGTGACGCAAGATCTAGATCGGATCTGAAGCCTTAACCACTACGATTTATGTCATAGTTCAAACTAAACTTTATTAAATGGATACCTGAATGTGGAAGATAATAGTACTTTATAGTCAAGTATTTTTATGTTATCCACATATTTTTATCAATGTGGGTCACCGGTCATATCGACCGTTCTACCTTTAACCACCCCGCTAGAAAATCAATAGTTTTTACTGGGTTACCGACCTGAACTGGTTGGATTCAGTAGTGAGCTTTTTAACATTAAATATAGGGGAATGAAACATTAAAGTAAAATAAATCGTTTGTGTTCCTGCTTGTCTTCATTGAAACTATCAAGTGATAAAGAAATGAAGGCAGCAACAAAATAAGGTTACATTTTTAATGGATAGTCTGTTTGGGTTTAAAGCTTTATTTAAGTTTGTAGAATGTAGCAATTATGTAGCCTTAACATTAAAATGTCGTAGAACGGTAGAACGTATTGTGTTGAAGGTTAAAATGGCCACCAAAACAGTTAAATCCAAGCTTTCATTTATACCACCGTAAGTTCGCAATTTCCAGTAATATTCGGCTGACAAGCGTGCATGTGGCAACAAGGCGGGCGGCGGGCGCGCAGGAATCCGGTAACACTTAGCGGCCGCCCACAGACGCTAGGCGCATGAACTAAACAGTTCATGAACTTGCAACTTATTTTAGCCCACACTTTTAATTGTAATCTTTAGTCGTACGTAGATATGTATTACGTAATAAAGATTGCCGACATGCATCGACAAACATGATTCCACGACTGATTCTGATACTGTCCCGAGATTTTAACCTTAATGCTTTTAGTGCCATTGGAACACCGAAGTAATCCTAAAACTTTTTACACACACACAATATGAATTACTATTTATTATGTAACTCTAAAAGGGCACAGACATTGACCAATATTTGTTAAGCGAACTGTCAAAAAAAGGTAATAACTAACTTCGAGGCAAGCATTGTTATGGAGCAGGAATGCGCGCGTAGGACGCCTGTCGCCACCGTTTGCGCAACCAGAGCCTGAAGTCGCTTGCGTAAATAAATCAACAATAGATACAGCTCGAATTAAACCCTGCCCCAATTTCCTATTTAAACACTTATTAAAAAATATAAATTCCAATAAACGAGTAGTTATTGTTGTAAATTCAATTATAAAGCAAATGCAATAATAGAGGCATTTTAGGCCGCCACCTACAGTGATCAACCCGAACTAAACTGTAGATCGATACACGTAGGTTGCGAGGCGTGTCATAGATGGCGCTGTCATTTATTTCTATAAACGCGGCGGTTTTTAAGCGGCCTCAAAGTTGTTTTACAAGGCGTTCCAGTCGTAATGGTTTCTTTTCTTAGCAGATCGAAATAAAATTAAAGAACTAACCTTCATTACTGCTGGGTTTTGGTGATTTCTGCCACTGATGTCTGACTTTCTGCGACCAGCTGATTGGGCTCTTCCTGCCCCGACTTCTTTCGCGTACGCTGTAATTTAGAATTTCCATGTTGTCTTTAAAACAGAAATAATGTAACTGAGTGAGCGTGCTTCCCTTTTCATTTCGTTTTTCCCACTGAGCCACCAGCAAATACACTTTCGTATCAAGTGCCGATAACAATGTTTGTACTTCGCTTTGGAAACTGCTATTGCGGGTTATTAGTATTTTTATTAGGTCAAGTGAAACGATAATTTGATGCTCGGAAAAATTGTAATATGCTTATCGTTGTGTATATCGAGCAGCTGTTGTTTTGTCAATATTTTTGTTTAATATTTTTGACAGTTATGTTTTCATTTTTTATCGTTACTTTTAAGAGTTTAAGGCAATTTCCATTATTAGCAAAAATGTTTTACCAATATTTGCACAATATTTTGCAGATCACCAGATTATCTATAAATCTGAGTAAAGCTTAGATTATGAGATAAATGATAAGGAAATAAATATTTTCAACTTACATAATGATTTTTTGTTCATTTTTTTCTTCGTCCGATACATCTACCCAGTCGTCGCTGCGATCGCTTCTGTCACTGACACTGGTTTCGCTGCTTGGGACTTGGAACGCGATCTCCTGTCCGTTGTAGCTGATCACCGACCTCTGGCCATACAGGCTGTTAGTCTTCTGCTCACTAGACATCGTTGACTGGCTGATATTCGACACCGTGTCAAACGAGAGACGCTTCTGTACGTTCGAGGGTACCTGCTTCTTCATACCCCTAAGCTTTACCATACTCGGGCTGTTAGGTATGCTCTCGTAACAATGCGACAGCGACGCCGCGTCGCCATGTTTTATCGTGTCATATATATTTTCGTTCTCGTTATACACCGTGTAGTCGGAAATAAAGGAATGTCGACTACTATACGTGGGACTACTGTCTTTTGACTTCGGCGGTCGAGCAGGAATTTTCTCGTAAATCCTCTCTGATCCTATTTTTTCATAGCTGACAGTAGACGTGCCACTCACCGACTTTGAAATTGCGTAGTTTTTGCTTGGTTGATAACCCTCAGCTATTTGGATACCAGAGCTTGAAGTTACACAATATGGTTTAATGGGAGACTTGCAGTATTCATACCCATCGTCACTATCACCATCGCCTCTTGTTCTCTCCTCAAGTTCGTTTTCACATAGTTCATAGTTATGTAGACAACTCTCATCACCTTCAGGATGTGATCTCATTTCAAGTAAACATTGGTAAATGTTTTCTTTGTCTGTACACTTATCTTCTTCATGTTTATCATTTTCGGTCTTAGGAATTTCCGGTAAAGGACAATTTATTTTAGAAGATCTATCTACATTTTTTATTGGAATGATCACGACATTTTCTTCGTCTCTCGGTTCTAGAGGTTCGTAATAATCCTCTAATTCTTCTTGTTTTGGTTTCGATGTATAGCCGATGATAATTTCTTTGTTGCAGGCTTCAACGAGATTGCTTTCAAAGTCCATGTTAGTTTCAGGTTTCTGCTCATGTGTTGAGATAATTATTCGAGATTCGTTCGTTTCAACTTGAGATTCTGGTATAATTTCGTGTGGTTCATCTGAACAAGTTATGGTTGTACCATTTGCTGAAACACTAACAAAACTGTATGAGTTATCTGATTTTTCTGAGTCTGAATATATTTGTGTACTGCTTTTCCGGCGCCACAGAAATGATTCGTTGGGTGTTATAGGTGAATTAATTTCTTGATAAATCTTTTCATCTTCACTAGGTCCTAGAACGTTTATAGATGGAACTGAATCTTCTTTCTGATCATTACTCACAGTATCTGTTACTATACTGTTTTCGTGAATATCTTCAGGTATTATTTCAACAACCTTTAAAGGTAATTTCTCGGAGTGGATATAATTTGTTTTATACCTTTTGCGATCATACAAAGGCTCTTTCTTTTTACTGATTTCACGTTCACTTTGGTCTGTTTTATTATCTAGTTTTACTAATTCATTTGTTACAGGTTTGATTGTTTTAATTTTTGGAATTCCGTCTTTTACTACAAGATTTTTGGTTAACACTAGTGATGATTTCTTTTCAGGTACTTTCGGTTTTTCCTTTAATGGTGTTGTACTCTTAATTTTATCAGGTTGCTTTCTTAGCGTATTGTTTGAATTAGATTGAGCTGTTATTTCACATTCAAACTTTTTGATGACGTTCTTAACTGCATTACTTTGCGCCGGTTTGATATTTTCTTTGATTACTTTCTTTGATTCCACTTCTTTAATTTTGACTGGACTGCCATCAACAGAATCAGATCCACTCGGTTGTTCACTTGAATCTTGGTACTTTAAACGCTTCTTTGAAGCTTTTGCCATTTTGGTACCATCAGATTTAGAACGGATAACACGAATTTTATTTGAACTATCTGCAATCATTAAGTCTTCCATTGAATCCATGCTTGAACATCTTTTTCTGTTGTGGCGCTTTTTCGAGCTCCGCCTTTGTCGTAGTACTATTTTTATATTTGGACTTGAACTGAGCGTTGATGAGGGTGTGGAACTGTTGCTGGCGGAACATCGTGACGCTGACTGCAATTCTTCTAAGGTCTTTACTAGTTTAGACTGTTTCGGCGAGGCAACATTGTGTGTGTCAGTTTGTAAGTTGTTGAATTTCTTTGTGAGTTCTGCAACTTTACTGCTTGTTATCGTCATTGTTTTGGCTAACGGTGGTCGTTTGTGTGATGTCGTGGCGTTTTTAATCTTAAAGCTAACTTTTCTTTGATGCTGTTCCACTGTTTTCTTAATACTCGGAGATACATTAATTGGAATGCTGTATTCTTTGTTGTTGGTGGCGCATGAATGTTTCATGTTTTTGCCTCCACCTGTGCTCCTGGTATCTTCACTGTCTGTGGTTATAGCTATCTGTGCGTAGTGTACGGTGTGATTTTCTTTGCTAGTTTCATGACTAGGTGGTGTAGTAGAACTGACGGTTGAATTTAAAAACGCCTGTTTCGCGTCTTGTAGGGACTTCATTCTTTCCGTAAATGTAGGCAGAGGCGGTTTAGCAGGTACTGAATAAATACATTTGTTGCTGTTACTTTGATTTTCTTTGATAGCCATCTCTGTTTCAGGTAGGATGAAGTTTTTCAGTAAAGCCTTTATAGTGCCGTGTTGTTTGCCATCGGTGTTGAATTTTTTTATCGACGAGATGAGAGTGTTCGTGGTTATCGTGTCGCCTTCCATTAGGTTGATTAGCATTTGTAGGGGATGTCAGTCGTTGCCTTACTGCGCCATCTGGAACAAGAAAATAAAATACATTGTAGCAAATAGTTAGAAGTGAGAAGTTTTAAAATTGATATTTAGATTAAAAATCTGGTTTAGTTTATCAACGTAGATCACAATAGTAGGTCGCAAGGCGATTGTTCAAGTTTCCATTGTCACCGTGGCTCGGCTTGTTTGTACAGTTTTCCGTGTAAGTTGAATGGCTCATTACCGCCATAAGTGTCCCACGAGATTGTGTTACTGATATGTGTGAAATATGTATTTGTAATGAAAACCAATTGCAGGTTGTTACAGAAAAAGTTATTGGTTCATGAGAAAATATTGGTGACGAAAGAATTTATGTTCCTACAAATAACGTTTAGCACATACTTATTGTTACATAGCAGAGGAAGTAATTCTGCAGTAGACTTCTCCCCATCAGCAGAGGTTACACAATTAATATGGTATTAATGACACGATATAATGTTATATTATTGAGGAGATTTTAAGTGATTCGTCTATAGGTACGCAATTACGCATGCAACTCGCTGATATTATAGCTGGCAGTAATTTTACGGCTGTTTGAATGACAATGGCGTGTCGTGCGGACAATAAAGGACGGTCAGCATTAAGTATGTATTTAGGAGACAAAAACATTCTTTGCTAACATGTAAGTAGTACCTCATGTAAGTAGGTGTCGTGCCAAAACATTGAACTTTATGGCCAAAGAGATGAATATTTGAGGAAAAAGGATGGCACTACTGGTCCCTGTATAGCTCCGTCTTTATCTTATGTGTTGTAGCTTGTACGAAATAATAGTAGTTTTCTTACAAAGTGTAGATAGTTCTATGATAAGTTAACGATTTTATTAGTTAGTTTGATCAGGTGATCGGATCAGACATGATTTAAATACATTCAAACTGTGTGAAATATAGCTACGTAACAAGTATTATAATAATTGAGATAATATTTTGAATTTATTTCGATTGCTTCACGTTCATTATTTTTAAAGATCAGTAGTGAGTCTATCGATGCTTTCCCAAACATCCTTTCGAGAATAAAAAATATTGAATCTTCTCTTTGGTGACATTGACATACCAATAAGCAATCGTTTGTACATTCATTTGCCATAATAATATTTCGAACTTTTGCTAACTACATTCGTACTGTAGAAGTATATTTTTGACCTATTCTAGCAAAATATCACAGTATGGGGTCATTCCGTGCGGGGCAGTGCTTTCACCGCGTGGGAACTGCGCACGCGTCGCAGATCATACCTGATTTACCAATTCTTTTGTTTACCTACGTGTAATCATGCCTAGCTTGTGGTGGATAGGGGAATATGTTTACTATGATATTAGTGGTTTCTCCACATATTTTATTGTTCTATACATTGGTTTTATTTACGATTTCTTTGCGTGGAGCGTGGTTATCTATTTAGCTTTGAAACCACTTTCGTAGTTTTGGATACGAACTCGAAAATCATGGCTCTCCTTTTTCTTTCTTAGTAGTCATAGTTTTCAATGTTTCGTGTATTTCAATATCACCATTGCTTCATTTTAAATGTGTTGTAGCTGCAGACTGTAGCAAGGGCACCTTAGTAGGACATCAGAACAAAGACATCGATATCTGTTGTGATATAACAAAAAATACAGGTTTTATTTTCTAAGCAATTAATTCTGACTACAATTTGCGAACGTGCATGGAGAATCGTAAAACACTAGAAATCTAGTTTCAGATCTAAGGCAACACCGAGATGAACGTGCTTACGTAACTGGGGCGGTGTTGCAAGCACTAATAATTATTACAAGATCGTTGTAATTGCTAATTATTAAAAATAAAGCGTTTAATTCGTGTTAATTGTTATTAGAAAGCATAGTTGATGATTATTCCGACCGGATTTTTTGGGTTATTTAATAATCTCGCAATATCGTAATAAAAGAAACTGGTATGCTTTTGCACACGCACAAAATCAGGATTACGAAAAAGGATAACGTTGCAAACTTTACTCGAATTGATATTATAATTGTATAAAATAAAAATAAACTTTTTTTTATTGGTACGGCTGTAAAAAAGCCGCTCATGAAAAACGTAATTATAAACAGATCGCTTTGAAACGTCCCAAAATGCAGGTGGGTTTACACACAAAGGCTGTATAGAATATGTATGTTTAGAATCGATATCTTTCGATCCTTCGTAATCTGTTTAATCCGCATGCACGTGGTGCAGGTACACTTACCTGGTAGACGTACATAAATACATCTTTTATGCGTCCCTCCAACATACCAATGAGCAGAAAGAAAAAACTGTAATGATCTCAATGATCTCACTCTGCAGAATTACTTTTCTAAATAAACTCCAAAAGCAATGGATAATATACGTACGGTTTTTTGTAAGTAGAGTTGCTGGGGAGTTGGGGTTTAAGTTGACATTATCCCGCAGGGTTAGGATAACCCGTAATTACCGGTATGAAATTACATAAGAAACCTCGTTAATAAGTTACTATTACCACAATGGCGGCCAACCATCTCTACAGCTTATAAATAAGCCACATAACACTAGGGAAGTGTTTAACAAATCCATAAAGCGATCAATCTTCTGTAACCGTTACACAATGGCGCGTGCGACGCGTTCAGATACAGTATTTACCTGCGTTTGCGCACCTCTTAGAAAGTCTGACAATACGTGATGGAAATCATGGCAAAGAGAACACGTTTGACACCATAGTGCAACACTATAGTTATCTAATGGCTATGTTTATTTAGAAAATGGTTTTCGAATCAGGGTTAATAGTTATCGCGTGTCGAGGGGATGGATCTTAGATGATGCTGAAGATTGTGATTGCGATGTAGAAAACAATTTGTAAAATAAATGTTAGTTCAAGGAAATAATGTCTCTGTTAACCTATATATTTAATTACCTAGGTTTCATATACTCGTATGATGTGCGTGCATGAAACCTATTTGCAAAACCGCATAATTGGGGAAATATATTTGGTCCCTTACTTCTTAAACACACCCTGCCCTTTGTTGTTTAATAGCATTGCTCAACCTATTTAATAGTCATGCAAAGGTTCGAAAACCAGTTAGGTCTTTTATTCCTCGTTATCTAAAATACCACAAATGAGGGGAAAGTCATTTCAAAATACTTGACAATATGACATTACACAGTCAACATCTTTGAGCGCAAAATAGCTAATTTGGTTGTCCCATTATTCGCTAAGTGGAGCAATTTTGTAAAGAAAAGAAAGTATTTGAAACAGCTTTGTTTACAGATAAAATACAGACAACATAGAAACCTATTTGTATTGGACAAAAGAATATATTTCTTTGTAGGTATTATAATTCTTTTAAGAAGATCCATGAAAGCGTCTATCGGCATTTTCGGGTCCCAAAATTTAGGAATTTGCGGTTTCTTTCTTTGACATAATTAGCTTCAGCAATTAAGATTACGCTAATCCGTTTTGTTACGTACTTTTAACAAACGTCTTAAGAAGTTGAGTTACCGATAAGCTACTTTAACCTTGGTCTTAAAACGTTTAGAAATGATTTTTGCTACGAGTTATACAAGAAAAGAGCCGTTTTGACCAGAGTTCCAGTATTAATACGAAAGTGGTCATTTAATACGGTACATATACTTACTTATGTATCTATAATTATTTATACTGCAACGAAAAAACAATGAAGAGTAAAGTTTATTCTTGCTATCACATCGTACAGTAATCCAAAGATACTGTCAAGGATAATGGCGGGGAAATCCTAGCAGCCATTGTAATATATTCAAATCAATTATTGGCAACTGGTAACACAGTCATAGTGTACGAGTGCCGAAGGTCGAGTGGCAACACAGCATGTGATGGGCCCATTGCCCAGTTTGAATAACTGTCAGTAACGGCGTTCAACTCACGCGCACGATGCATCGTAAACATTGCGATAGTATCGAGAGAATGTTAAGATATTGGATTACGGACACAAGGCTCTACACTCTACAGTATGTTCTGAATGTTGAGCAGTATAATTGATGTCAGATTTTGATGTCGTATTTTGGATTTCGATCATTGTAATACATTGACCTTGACATCTAGGTTTATTGTCAAAGCAATTAGGTTAGGTGTAGCATAAAATAATTTAGCAGAGCACATAAAGAAACGTTTGCTAACATAATTGTCTTTACTTATGACAAAGTTTTTTAACGTTGTCATTAGGCATATCATAAAATGACTAAATCTAAACCTTTGTGACTAAAATGAACAGTTTTGAACATAGAAGTAGGTAAATCACAATATTAATTATTAGTAATTAAATTTATACAAAGTGGCGTCACCGGAAGACTAGTGACGTCAAGAACGGACCGCGTATACCACCAGCAGTGACATAAGAGTTGACCACTGAACTCTAACCTGAAAACTACGGGAAGTCGTCAAAGTAATACCGTAAACGTGTCATTTTAAATACAATGACACATGAGCCGCGTCATTTTCATCATGCGGCATGTTATCCAATCGTGCAGTTTCCGAGTTTCTCAGGCAAAAAGACAAAGGGCTGTAAACTAACAAACATTTAAACCATCAAATAATATTTATATGTGTGACTTTCACCTTAGACGTTTGTATAGCTATCATATTCAAATATGGCTATTGGATGGAAATGATGGGTTGTCTTGACTGATTGGGCCATAATATTGGTTGATTGATAGAAAGTGACCAATGAACGCACACCGGCCCTTCAATAAACTTCAATGCAAATAACTGGGTAAAAAGCCAAATAGTGCGTCTTATTCATTATAGTTCTTTAGACACCATCGAGTTGAGATACGGTGATCGAAAACATCGCGAGGAAACCTGGGTTTATAATTTTCTAATAATTAAAATTTAAAATTACCAACCCACATTGAGCAAGCGTGAGACCATACCTTCTCTGTGTGAGAAGGCTTAGTTCAGCAGTGGGTTATAGGCTGTTGATGACAATGATGATGCTTTCTAGTAAACATAATTCAAGCCTTTGACTGCCGACAGAAAACTGCTGAAGGCAAAT